TCATAGCGATGGCCTCCAACCTCATAGCGATGGCCTCCAACCTCATAGGGATGGCCTCCAACCTCATAGCGATGGCCACGATGGCCTCCAACCCAATAGCAATGCCATCCAACCTAATAGCATGGTCTCCAACCTAATAGCGATGGGCTCCACCACAAGATGGGAATTGTTCATCAATGTTCGTCTTCCATCCGGCAAGCGGAACAGCTTGAAGTGTCAAGGGCCTGTTCCTCGACTGGTGGAGAGCGGTTCTCTTTGTCCGGCTCAACTTTCTTGGGCCTCGGGCAAATCACCCTAGGGGCTCCTGGCCTCACGACTAGGAGCAAGGACGCTACTTGGGGGGGGCTCCGGGCATCACTACTAGGGGATCGAAATCAATTCTCTTGCCTATTGGAGCAGCATGAGAAATCAGCTGCGATGCAAAAAAAGAAACTCCTATAGCTGGCTACAAAGTTATTCTTCTGGAACAAAAGCATTCTGGATGTTTGCCAGTGTGGAAGTGGAGAGGGAAGAAAATGAGTTTATGTTCTCCTCCCTCTCCCCTTCCATGATTGTGCTTTGTGAATGTTTGAGGAACACTATTTCCAAAAAAGAAACGTTGAACTCCCTTCCAGCTCTGCTGTTCATGGCCCGCGGGAATCAAAATCAAACACTTCAAGAGCACTTGCGGCTGGAACCCTCGTACACAGCCTTCCACACCCCTTCCCAACCTTTGCCGAGCAGCTCCTCTATCTTCTGCCGTCGGATTTTCCCGAGCTTCCTTTTTCCACAAGAACAAGGGTTCGAGAACAAGTTCGCAAACAAGTTCGAAGGTCCTAGGAAGAAGCTTAACTAAGTGTACTAAGTCGACTCCAGCGTTTGCGCCAAAGATGCCTCCATCCAGGGGTTGACATGCGCAGAAGAGCGCATGTCAAATCAAAAATCGTAGCCGGAAACCAAATCAATAGTGAGACCGCTATCCTGCGTCCGTTCGCTAGTAACTAGCAGGTTACCTAGTAGTTTGTTTTAAGTGGCCGGCTACTGAATTGAGTAAGGGTGAGGGCAACACGGGCTATATGTCCTGTGATATGTCTGGTCTTGGATTCGTAGAGGAGACGACCGCTTCAAAGCATTAACAAAGTCTCAAAGTGTCGATTGAAGAAAGCGTGTTTTAACTTCCTGCGGAGTCCATTCCATAGTCAGTTTCCAGAAAAAGAAAATGCAAAACAAAAATGTTTGCCCGTTTGCCCGATCTCACCAAGCATCTCTAGGCGTCTTAGCAATTGCTCAGCGCTTGGTCGCTGCCGCATGTCTCGCGTGAGGAGTGATTGCACGGCCTCGCACATGACTGGCGCAAGATACAAAGAGAGTCGAAAGTCGGATCCAATAGCATCTTGTTCCTAGTAGCAAGAATGCTACTAGTAGTAAGGCCAGGAGCCCCTAGCGTCCTTGCTCCTAGTAGTAAGGCCAGGAGCCCCTAGTACGGTGCTTGCCAGTTTGCAAAAATGATTCTCCTGACAGCCTGGTTGAATATGCAGCACATTTGATGAAGGGATCTAGTTAAAAGTTCGTAGCAGCACGCGCCGCAATGCCATGTGTGGCACAACCTGTGTGCATTGGAGTACTTTTGCTTGAGTTGCCAACAAGGCAAAAATGTTGGAACACCTAAACCTGAGATTTGGTGTGCGGTTTCGGCCTGTGCCTGGAGCTTGGACGAAGCTCCACTTTTGATGGGTGCACAAGCAATGGAAGCGAATTGTTGCAGCTTTGTCTCTGCACCTTGCTCCTAGTAGCGTCTTTGCTCCTAGTAGTACGGCCAGGAGCCCCTAGTAGCATCCTTGTTCCTAGTAGCGATGCCCTTTGTTACTAGTAGCACAAACAGCATGAAGCTGGTTGACTGCCAGCAAGCCTCTCCCAGCTTTGATCCTATTCCATCGCTTCCGTCCTGTCCTTCCGTCTCTCTGCCCATCCCTCCCCCGTCCTTTTCCTCATTGATTCGTTCAGTGCTTGTGGAAGTAACAAATCAAAAAACAATACTACTGCATGCTTGAAGACAACATGCACTCAAGGAAAACTAAGGAAAACCAGGAAACAAAAAGGGAAGAAAACAACATGTCACGTGGTTGGCAAACCGTACCACCGAGCGACGTTCGAACGGATACCCCCCGCACCTCGGAGAGCTCCTGACCACGAAAGGCGGGCAGCGGTGCGTAGCGACCCGTGAGAACTTGGGAGACGATGTCCTCACTCCGCGGCGCGTCACGGTCACCACAAGGACGTCCCTTACTAGGAGCAAGGGCATCGCTACTAGGGGCTCCTGGCCTTACTACTAGGAACCAGAAGCTATTAGAAACAATAAATAAATAGAATTAGAATTAAAGTTATGTTAAATCTAATTAGAATTTAATTAGAAAGGGGGGGTAGGAGCAAGGACGCTACTAGGAACAAAGGGCATCGCTACTGGGGGCTCCTGGTCGGTTTTCTTGTGAAATCTCGTATAAGCAGAAGGACAAGGATATAGGTATGCAGCTCGTACAGTAACTAGTGGGCTGTGCCTGGAAATCAACAAACTCCATGATTTGTACGCGCTTTTGTGCCCATGTTGTCGGAAGTGTGAGGACCAAACCATTCTTTGGGGAGTACCTCTTGACAAAAACAAGAGCAACAGCCTTCATAGCAGCACAAATGTCAATCTTTCTACGTTTGCTTGCCAAACAAATTGATCGCAAAGCAAAATCCTTCACAAAGCAACATCAGCTGCACAGGTCACAAGGACGTAGAAACCGCAGAAACATGGCTTGCACAAGTAGAAACACGGACGAAGAACCTTGTAGACTGATTGGTCAAGACTCCATTAGAGGCCCCAGCGAAAGTAGAAGCCAAACTACTAGTAGCGTCCTTGTTCCCAGTAGTAAGGCCAGGAGCTCCTAGTAGCGTCCTTGCTCCTAGTAGCGATGCCCTTTGCTCCTACTAGCGTCCCAGCTCGAGCCCGACTCCAACAGTTCCTGGAGGTTGTTGCCTTTGAAGGGCAATTCCAACGAGAGCAGCTCGTAAAGCACCACGCCCATGGACCAAAGATCTGTGGATTGCGTGTAAGGACGCCCTGCCGCTGTGCACAAACGCCGTTCTTCACACTGGATGATCCTTCATACGCAACTCATGTGGCCTCCAACCTCATAGCGATGGCCTCCAACTAAGAGCGAAGGCCTCCAACCTAGTAGCAATGGGTTTAACAATTCAGTTCGAAATCAAGATGAAAATTGAGCCGACAGTATTGGCCGTCGTGCAATTCTCTGAAGATTCTGTGCACAGTTTGGATCATCAAAATCAGTCGAGGATTGCCAACATCGGAGCTCAAGACGCTCAAGTTATTCACTTTGGCAACACACCGACTTCCGACAGAATCCCTGCAAGTTGGAAAGATAGACAACTCACTTGTTTTTTCGCCGTACGGAATCTATCGTTGATCTGTCGCCTAGTCCATCCTGTCACCTAAGCTGCGGGGTCGCCTTCGATCAACTCAGGCGACAGGTACAGCGGCGTGCCGTAGAAGGACTGCAGTTGCCTCAAAGGCACACAGGGGACACATCTCCAAACTCTAAGGACGCATCCAGGAATGTATCTTTATAGCCAGATAACTTACAACTAAAGTAACTATGGGATTGGAGGCCATTGCTATTAGGAGCAAGGAAGCTACTAGGGGCTCCTGGCCTTACTACTAGGAGCAAGGACGCTATTAGGTTGGAAAAAATCAACATCTCCTCTCAAGTCGTGACGACTGTCCAAGGTGCATAGTATGCTCCGACATCTGGCGGCTTACACCAAAATCACCCAGTTTGATGACACCCTTGTCATTCAAGAGAAGGTTCATGGTCCTAGGTGGCCAGAGCCAGTGCATTGAGCTTGAAAAGTTGCAAAGTGGATGGTTGATTGGTCCTCCCAGCTACCGGCTGCAAGCTGCGAACGTCTGCCTCTGTGAAAGAACGATGTGCCGAGGCTCTTCAGGTCGCGATGCACGATGCCACGAGCGTGGATGTGGCGCAAACCCAACAGCACCTGCGCCAAGATGTCCCACACCTGTCTGCTGCAAGGCCTTTGGCAACCTTTTGGGACTTGCAGTTGGACGATTTGTTTCACAAGGTGTTTCTGGGTGCTTTCCGTTTCACTGATCACCGTTGCTAGCAATGTCCAGAGCGGTCTTGATGAGAAGTGATGTGTTGCCCATGATTCGAAGGATTCGACAGAAGCATCGCGCTTTGTAGGGCCGCCTCTTCGTTCCCAAAGTGCTTCCCGAGGCGCTTCCGATTCCTTCGGAAAAGAAACCGAAGGAATTCACTTAAAATATTATGCCAGCATAGACCGCAAGCAGTTTCAACATGTTTCGACATGTTTGTTGGCCAATGTTGGTGGCAACGTCTGTATTGGAAATGGCATGTAAACAAAAACATGTTATAAAACATTTATAGTTCCTGTTGCCCGAAGTCACTTGTGCAAACACGAAGGGACAATTATTATATATATATACATATCTATCTATTGCATGAGAAAATCCGAGGATGTTATCAAACGCTGCATCGCTCTTGCATTCATAGCCACACGAAAACGGTGTGAGGACAGCAGGATGAGAAAAGGTGCCAGCGTGGCCAAAGGACAGGAAGAGAAGAGGAGGCAAAGGACAACAGGACACCTGGACACGGGGTGACACGGGGCGCGGCCAGTCGAAGCATCAGCTTTAGTGCTTGCAGAGCATCTGTAGTTCAGAGTGAAGATCTCCTCGATTAGCATATTCGAGAACCTAGGGGAATGAATCGGATCTCTTGACACGAAACCAACTGCGTCCACTCATGAGATGGCACAGCACTCGCGACGTCCACCAAAAGGACATGTATTTAATTGCTTCTAGGTTGGAGGCCATCGCTAGGAGGTTGGAGGCCATCGCTATTGGAAAGAAAGAAAAGAGAAAAGGAAGAAAGGTTTAATATAGTTTGCACGTAGGTTGGAGGAACTTGTCAGCAAGTCTACACCGCACACCCAGAATATCCCATATGCACACCAAGATGCAATGTACAACGACTGCGTCGGATAGTCCCAGAAGTACCCATAACATCGAATAATATTTGGATGGCTCAGCTTTTTCATGACCTGAAGGGGGTCTGCGTGGTTTCATCGACCAAAAAGCTTTTGGTCAACAAGAAATTCAAAGACCTTTCGAAACTTCTCTGAAATGTCACTGCTTCGGCCTCGAACTCGTTCAGCATGTCTTTGGCCTTGCCAAGCTCTGCAACTTTGCCTAAGCGGGAAAGTGGATAAGGTCAAGAGCCTGTAGGGAAGCGAAGTTCAAGACCTAAAATAACTCTTGCTTAGAATGTTTTCTAGCACAAAGAAGAACAGGACATAAAATAACTCAGAAAGGCTCAGAAAGGTCCAAACGAATAAAGAAACGGAAAGAAGAGAATTGAAGAGAGAAAGCAATGCGAGAGGGCTTGTGCGTGGTGGGGAGGGAGGAGTGAAGTCCAAGACCGAAGACCTGGGTTTTTTAGACAGCACGTTGTTCCTCAAATCGGCCTTTCCTCTATTTCTTTGATGTCTTTCGCGTGGCTTTTCTTTCTTCGAAATTTTGACACTTTAGAGACACCTTTCGTGACACCTTTAAAGACGGTTCATGAAGTTTCCCTAAAATCGAACCAAATGAATAGTAACAAGTGCCACGCTAGTAGTAACAGGTGCCTTACTAGTAGTAACAAAGAAGCTATTAGAATTAATTTAAGTGCGAGCGCTTCTTCAGCTCCCCCCCGCCCTCCGTCCTAGGTAGCTACTTGTTAGCTACTAGCTACCATTTGCTTCTATCTACCTCTAGCTACCTACCACCCTCTCGGCCGGCCTACCCCCCCAAAAAAAGAATAGAACTGTTTCATTCATTGTTCGTTTCTTTCGCTTTTCGCTGTCATGAGTCGTGTCTTCAGGACGACTTCAGAGACCAGTGAGGTGGGTGCTTTGATCTTCGCCAAATGCACCGAGCCAGTCGGGCTGCTGTGTAGATCTCGAACGATCTGCGGGAGCTCAGTTCTTCGAAAGATATAAAAATGAAAAACATTGAGAAACATGTTTTAAACAAAAATGTTTTAAAAAACATTGCTTCTTTGGCATTTTTCGGCATTCGCCCCACAGAGTCAATTTAGGAACAAGTCCTGGAATTGCCCAGGATGGCTGAAGTCTCCCACACTGGAGGGCCGCCCTTGCAACTTCTCCTCCGCCTGCAAACGTCAGTATCAAGTCAAAACACTGAGTCATGGCCATGATACGTGATTCTGAATTGCGGCCATGAGGTAAGGGAAGAGAAAGGAAAAAGAATTGAAAAGGACATGAAAAAAAGAGGACCAATGAAGGGTAGGTACGCGGGGTAAGGTGCATGATGCCCCCGATACCAACCATATGCACCCATAAACCCCAATCCTAAATCATTCTCACAATCCTAAGGACCTGAGCCACCTTCAGTTGGCCTACGTGCTCCTAGTAGCGTCCGTGCTCCTAGTAGTAAGGCCAGGAGCCCCTAGTAGCGTCCTTTGCCCCTAGTAGCGATGCCCTTTGCCTTGGTCATGGCGACCTCCCGGTGCGCCATCGCAGTTAGCCATGGGGCGGAGCCGCTTGGAATTCGAATGTGCGGTGCCCGAGCGCTTGAAACCGAGCGGTTTCCGAGTGGTTTCCGAAGACATGTGCTCGTGCCGTCAAAAAAACAAAACGGTTGTTGCACGAACAGCTTGCGATAGGATCAAAATGGGTTCAATATGCAAGTACGGTCCAAACTCGTTTCACTCCCCCAATCTGACTTGAGAGCAAACCTCGTTTGAGTAGGAAAGAGTTGGATCACTGCCACCACAACTCCCTCATGCGACTCTTGGAATGAGGAATTTTATAGAATTTTCATGTCCTGCCTCTACGAGCCAAAATCCTACGGCAGCACCCCAAAGAAAACGGTAGTGCGGTAGCCTACACCATTTAAAATATGCTAGTAACAAGAAGCTACTAGGGGCACCTGGCCATACTACTAGGAGCAAGGACGCTACTAGGGGCTCCTGGCATCGCTACTTGGAGCTTTCTTACTACTAGTAACAAGAAGCTCTTCACAATTTCCCACGTGTCTTTTTTTGGCCTTTCAAATAGCAACCGAGAACGCAAGTGACCCTTCAAAGGGGCAAGCTCTGGTACTGAGATTCCCTGACGATCGATGGCTGTGTCGACAAAAAAGCCAGGTTCGCACTTCAAACACCTGGTGACCATGAGATTCACAAACAGATTCGACGATTTCTTTGAGAAATCCAAATATAAGACGTCCGTCCTCCTCCTATGGTTGGTCCGTCTGTCGAGCCTCTGTTGCGGAACGACTTCGCACTCCACACATCGAGGATCCACAATGATGGCACAGTCGGGGACGGTACATTGGGCCGCGTTGGAGGAGTTGTATGCACCTCGACAGCTCTGGCTTAACATGTGTTCAATTGACAGCTTTCTTTCGCTCAGGCTGAACGCTCTTTGGTCTTTCTGAAGTACTGCTAGATTGCTAGATGCGCTTGCTTGCTCAGGACGTCAAAGTCCTCACAACTTCAATCAAATACGCTCTTACACTCTCTGAAGGGGTGTGCGCACGCTTGAATCAGTCCCCTTTTGCGCCAAAAAATCTGCTTTCCTGCCATGGCACGATCCCAGAAGGAGAGGAAGGAGATCCGAGAGTCTGCCTGTGCCACTGTGGAACATATGCGGCGGAAGGACATAACGTCACTTATTTACCCTCTTTTCCTCAAGCTCTTATCTACACCCTTTCCTTTCCCAGGAAACCGCGAAACCATTTCAGCATGTCTGATGTGAAATGGAAGCTGAGCTGGATCTAGAGAAAACCAGCGACACTAAGCTTGAGGTGTGTATATAATCCCCTGTACGACAACCCCGGGGGTGGCATTGTGTATCTACAAATGCCTCACCCCAGGTCCAAACCAACCAATCCATCCATAAAGTCAAGCCCCCCAAGATAGAAACCTTAAGTCTATAATATTGGGTTGGGGGTTGGCCTGAGTGGGCTCACATATTTTTTCAGAAAAGTGAGCTCTCCATAAAATCAACCCCTCCAAGAAAGATGCTTAAACAACCATCTCTACAAAATGGCTTCTAACCCTCTACAAAATTATGGTGGGTGGGTGCGCATGCTCGAGTTAGCGCAAAGATTTAACAAAAGAATGCCGCTTCTATAAAATGATATTTAAAAAAATGTACCCTGCCTTGCAAATCATGTGTTTGCTAAACATGCTCAAAATTTACCCTGATCACTCTACAAATCAGGAACACCCAGGACAATCATTCCATAGAAAACCAACATGTTCTCTACAAAACGGTCGTTTCCAATACAGGGGTTGACCCAATTTGTAGAGAAAATTTAACAGGGGATTGTATATATATATATATATAGCAGATCTGTGCATATCAATTACCAAGTGAAAGAAGCATTCCCAATGCGAGTCGTTGCGCCTTCACATAGCTTCCGGCTGTCTCTTGTGAGATGTCTTGGCCAGGCGACCAGAACCTCGCTAAGCGTTTGCCAACAATCACACCTTGAAAGGGTTTTATGATTCTCGCTTGAATGACCGCAACATGTGTGCCAGCCTCTCCTGACATTGACATGGAGGCCATCGCTACTAGGGTGGAGGCCATCGCTATTAGGCTGGAGCCCATGGCTTTCAATAAAGACTCCTGGTGCAACAGCTTGCTCTTCCCCAGCTTGCCCTTCTTGATTCTTGCCCTTAAGCCCGGCCACGGAAGGATGTCGTAGCCGGTCTGGTTGATGGGCCGATACTCCTCACCAGCCATGGGCATAAGAGGCTCGCGAACTTGAGACATCTCTTCAGAACTTGGATAAAATTCAATTGGAAAAGACCCTTTCACTGCTTCACAATTCACACCAAAACACGTTCATCCATCAATTCAAGCAAAATCCTTCCATCCGGGTTCGCATTCACATTCGAACGGCTCCACACAGGTGCCATGCACACACCTCGAGGGATAGACCAGGCGAATGATAAATACAATACACTCAAGCAAAGGGCACAGAAAGCATGAGTTCGAAGACTAGTATATCGACAAATATGTTCTGGCGCGGCAGAACCCCATGAAAGGCCAAAAGTGCTATCTTGAAAGCTCCTAGGTGTGGCACTCTGGCGAAGGTAACGGCCAACTCTGACACAACGGGTAGTCACCTGAGATTCTCTAGATCGTCTGTTGCACCGATTGTACGTAATTATATTTCACCAGTTGAAGCAAGAAAGTCCTACTAGTAGCGTCCTCGCTCCTAGTAGCGATGCCCTTTGTTCCTAGTAGCGTCCTTGCTCCTAGCAGTCGCCTTTCGTCCCCAATACTGTTTCAGTGCAAGTGACACAACCGACCACCCCATCCAGCGGCACAGCGGCAAATGTCAGGAGCCACCGCCTCAGCTGTGAGCTATTCTATTTCAATACGAGCTCATCAACATGCGAAAGGAAAATAAGAGCGAAGGCCTCCAACCTAGTAGCGATGGCCTCCAACCCAAGAGCGATGGCCTCCACCCTAGTAGCGATGGAAGCGATGGCCGTCCTCCCAAGAGAATTCAAGAGTTTTTGCCCTCCAAAATTGCCGTGCTCCACGGCAGATTCATCCGCGCAGTGTCCGAATATCAAGGAAGTTTCGAAGAGACAAACACGGGGTAACAGTCCGTAACAGTTGGCTCGAAAAGATCTAACTCGATACCTGGTGTCCAAGAACTGCTCCATGAGACAGGGCAGCTAGGCGCCAGACATCACCATTCACGCAGGCAGGCTCTGACAGTGGCAGCTCGCAGGAGGTGCCTGGAAATGCTGCTGCACTGCAACCTAATAGCAATGGCCTCCAAAAACAAAAATAGAAAGAAAAAGTTTAAAAAAGATAGCAATAATAATAACAACAATATGTTTAAAAACAAATAGACTACTGTTGTAGCAATAAACAGCAACATTTCGTCAAAGTTTGCTAAGACAGACTCAGCCAGCCTCCCCAGCCATAAAAGCACTCGCAGGTGTTGGGCAACACGCAGGTACCCTGCCTGGAATCTCGCTTTAGATTGACTCGGCTGACCAATCCCTTTGTCAAAAAAGGCTTTGACAGTACAGCCATGATCTGCCGAGACACCCAGGAATGCATTCGGGCTCACAAACAGCATGCTGGCAAGCAGCACCTTTCCAGCCTACAAACGGGCTGAGTGGTCTGATTTACAAGTGATCTTTGTTGATACAAAACTGCTTGGGAATGCACCGCAAAGCCTCTCCACCGTTACAAGCATGCGGAGTGCACAACTCACACGCACAACTCACACAACCTTGTTCGAAAGAACCTTTGCTCCCTCTCTTTGCTCCCTCTCTTGCCTTGTTCGCAGTGGCACAAGTCCGGCGCCACACATTTGCCATGCTGGCATGAGGGCCAACAAAGAGGGTTCCGGCATCGCCACCCACCCCAGCCTGTCAAGTCCATGCTCATGCTGCTGAATTGCCCTCTGACAGTTGACTTCATAGTTAGATGCCAAACGAGTCTCTCGTTTATTAGCCCATCTTTCATCTCGAGTCTCTCGGGGCCTGGATCACAGGAGCAACAGCCACCTGTCCGAAGACAAGCTGCAGACCACTTTTGTTGCCTTTGTGGCCTTCATGCAGTATGTGTCCTGATGAATTCAATGAACTGTAAGGATCCACTGGTCCTCATCAAACGCTACCTCTCCTCTTTCACCGTTGGCACTCTGGTCTGGGATGCAAATCTTGACTTATTTTCGAGAACGACCAAAGTGGTCTTGATGGTCTTCGCTACTCAGCCGGAACGGATTGCGTCCGGAACATAACAAACATCCAACAGGCCTTTAGCAGCGCGCGTCTCCTGCGGACCCGGATGTTGAGCTATCATATTGCAGCACCATACCGTATCAAATCATATCTTCAGATCAGCTAGTAGGTTGGACGCCATCCTTAGTAGGTTGGAGGCCATCACTACTAGGGTGCAGGCCATCGCTACTAGGGTGGAGGCCATCGCTTTTAGGCTGGAGGCCATCTCTACCAGGCTGGATGCCATTGCTAGTAGGTTGGAGGCCACGGCAAGTAGGTTGGAGGTTGGAAGCCATTGCTAGTAGGTTGCAGGCCATTGCTAGTAGACTGGAGGCCATCGCTTCTAGGTTGGAGGCCATAATTAGTAGGTTGGGAGGCCATCACTAGTAGGTTGGAGGCCATCGCTTCCAGGTTGGAGGCCATCCCTAGTAGGTTGGAGGCCATTGCTAGTAGATTGGAGGCCATCGCTTCTAGGTTGGAGGCCATTGCTAGTAGGTTGGAGGCCGTCGCTAGTAGGTTGGGAGGCCGTTGCTAGTACATTCAGAGAGCCTTTCCACTAAACTCTCCCTTTCCACTCCTGCAAGCATTTCACCATGAAAGGGAAGCAGGGCTCATCGTTGTCGGTTTGACTAGATGCACACCTGAGCGACCGCACTTGGAGACAAATCGGCGGAACACTTACTCTCGTTCTCTTCTTTAAGCCTTTGTCTTTTCTTTATGCCTTTGGACCTGC